ATTTTATGAATATAACCTTCGTTCTTTGATGTTAAAAAATGGACTACCTCTAGAAAGAGCAATTTCATTCATAAGCCTTTCTAAAGAACAGATATAAACAAGGTTTCAAAAAACGCCAGACGGCCAGCCTAGCGCCCAGCACCTAGGCGAGAGCCCAGAACCTTGGACGCCCTATAATACAAGTTTTATAGATATTATATTTACATATATTTGTGTCAATTTTGTGATTTATTGCATTTGAAAATATTGTAACATAACTTTTTTATATACAAACATATGACATGTCGCATGTTGAGAATAAACTTGTTCAAAGTTTCAAAATTCAAACCGTACAAAATTTCAAAGTCTTATAAGATATGTATTAATAATAGTCTCCAACTCTCCATATTCCATAACAAGTGAAAAAGTTTAAGAGGCATTTTCAAACCACAAAAGTACTTTTGATTCTCAGAAATAGGTATAGCTAAGAGATTGAGGGTTTATGGAATTGTTCTTTTAACTTTGGGGGTTGAAAATAACCCCTATAAGCTATTTAAACCTTATTGGGGGTCAAAATTACTCACTTTTCCCTTTTGGGTATCTTTAAAAATAAAAAAATCTCACGGCCCTAGGCACCCGCCTGGACCGCCTAAGCGCCCGCCCAAGTAAGTCTACCTAGAATGGGCCGCTCAGGCCAAGGCGGCAGTGCATAGGGTCTTTGCCACCTAGGCGTCGGGTAGACCGTTTTTCGAAACATTGGATAGAAATGATGAAATTTAAAATGTTGATGCTTATATTGCTTGTAGCCTTCATTGTCAGAGGACGGTTTTCTAGAGTCTTGGGTCCTCAATTCATCTTTAAGATGGGTTTTTTAGGTGCAGTTGTAGTCATGAAGAGTACAACCAAGGTGTTGCCAAAACATTTTCCTTTGGAACACCTTATGGATAAAACTCAAATTGGCATTTCTTGAAGCTTATTTTATAAAAATTTTGAAACTTGGTATCCAAGAGGTCATTTGAGTGTGCGTATAATGGATGTCAACAATGGACTTTGCAAGAATATTGATCATCGAGGAAGATTTGTTATAAGGAGGTATGAGGAAATGGTCATATTCCCTAGAAGCCTAAAGAAGTCAAATGTGAAAGTATACGAACTGTAGTCAAAATTTGTGATTTATGATTTATTCACCGCCCTAATGCAGTTAACTTAGTGACTAAAAGGTTGCCAAATGTGAATAAAACAAGAAATAGGGCTACAACTGGGCTGTCTTTTTCCTCCTTGTTCATATCTTTCTTCATCACAGATTTATTATGTACTTTAAAAAAAGAGAGTAGGCATGGGGTTATGGAACTAAATTTACTTTTGTTTCTAGTGGCATCATGTTTTATTTGAACAAGACTAGAACCTTCAAACATGTGTGCGTGTGTGTATAAAAGATTTTATAAGCCAATGGATTTATAATGTAGGTTGTCTTCCAAAATGCATAGCTACAGGGATCTTTGAGCTGAAACTCGACACATCTCTTTTTTCTTTTCTTGTTTTGAAAGTGTTAACTTTGAAATTCTACATATCTTTGATTTAGAAAATTGAAACTTTTAGAAAGAAAAAAAAAATTGGTCTTGAGTTCTTTAAGGTCAACATCCTTAGGCCACCAAATGGACAACCTTCTTTCACCGAAATAACAAACTCATTTTTTCATTGTCTTTTTGCAAATTCATTCTCCTAGATTTATTTTGATGACATAGGCATCTACATGTGTGTAAACTTGGTGCAGTAGACTGCTACTTCCTAAAGGGACTTATGCTACAGTATGAATTCGCCGTCTTATCACACACGCAAAGATGCACGCAAGCTTTCACGTGCACGCGTGCACACACAAATACACACAAGGTGCCAATAGGCTGGCTGGCTGGCAATATAAAACCTTGGCCCAGGACACTATATCTAGCTCACGGTCTGGAAATCCGGACCAAAGACCAGGTTCAGCAAGTCTTGGGTCAATGATCTATAGCCCACCCTACCCGGCTCTAGTTTTATTTTCTTAGTTTTAAGGGAATTTCGAGAAAATATATTGAAGTTTTACAGAATGGAATGGATGGAATTGGAACCTGACTGAGTAACATGAACTAGCATGCATGCACACAAAGCATTAAAGACCCAACCCTCTAGTTGTAAAACATACTTCTAAAATATATAGTACACAGGAATTGGGCTTGGCCTAGAGAGGTTAGCAACTAACATTTAGCAAAGCTACATCCCAAGTTCGATTCCTACAGCTAAACAATCTTAAAATATATAATACATGATATTGCATTTATATGTGCATTAAATAAACTATCAACAAAATAATGCATATAAAACTTGATTTCTCTAGCTCTCTTAATCACAAAACTCTCTCTCTCTCCCCCTCTCACCCAAAAAAACACACCCACAAATAGGGCTGGCAATGGGCATGCCTGCCCATTGTGTAGAGAGAGAGAGAGAGAGAAAGAGAGAGAGAGAGAGAGAGAGAGAGAGAGAGAGAGAGAGAGAGAGAGA